ATATATATATATATATATATATATATATACATATATATAATATTACATAAATTTTTCTTATAAAATAAAAAAAAATATATGAATAAATACGAACAATTTAATATTTTCAGTACACAATCTAAACAATAAGAAGGAAAATGTATATATGGAACTCTAAATATTATATATATGTAGCGAAATATTTTGCTTTCTTTTAATTTTTCTTTGTTATCCATCCTTTTACTTTCATCCATTTCAAACAAATTAATTAGGTGTTGGGTTGAAAAATAAATTAAATATGATTTGATAATGTTGGGTCATAATTTCCGTATAAACTTAAAGCTCAGTTTTATTATCCACAAAGATTAATTTAGAATGAGACGGAGAGGGAAATTAGGAGAGTACAAAAGATAAGGTGAGCTTCTTTAAAAACTATTTTTTCCATTGAAATAAAAAGGCGTTGAAAATGATCCATTGGTATTGGTAGTTGCATGCGGAAATTAAAAAGGTGAAGTTAATTTTGACTGGGAGTGTATTATTGTTTGACTTGGTTTGTGTTGTTGGCGAAAGATCCCACCTGAAATGCACAAAAACGCTGGCAAAAGTGTTACTACACTGTATGCCTATGGAGTGTTGCATTATATATTTCCCAACTAATGGATTGTTTGATTTTTAAGGTAAGTTGCAGGTTTCTTAATAAATACGTTACATTACATAATGCATTATTGGGTGTGAATTAGTGTGGCAGAGGAAAGGAATCCAAGGAAGAAGGAACAGGGGTGGGTATAGCAATAGCAATAGCAATAGCAATAGCAATAGCACAGCAGAGAGCGTTTAGGGACATAAATAATTACTGCGGTGGGAATCATAACATAATCCTCTCATTCACACACAATTTCAGATCTATGCTACGAGTCAACCATAGCACAATCCTCTGTCACACATTCAATTCACTGTCGGATTCAGAATCTAAGAAACCAAAGTTTCAATTATGTTTGGAAATATTAAATTAACTAGAATGGCATAGTGGAGTGGTTTTAGATGTGGAAAAGAATGGGTTTAGTAAGAGATGATGAATGTTAGCTAGGGAGATTAGAAGGGAAGAAAATAAATTCTGGGGAGAGGGGACAGAGAGGGAGACAAGAATGCGGCAATTGAAATGGAGTTGCCGGGTGTTGAGGAGGACAACTTTTTCATGATTACTAACTTCTCTTTCTCTTACTCTATTCTATGCCTACTGCTACTACCTATTCTACCCTCTCATCTCTCGAGTCTCACCACACTTCTCTATCATCACCATACGTCACTCTACTCCTTCTCATCTCACTTCTTTTTCTAACCAACCCTCTCAATAACTCCTTTTTTAACTATAATAAATACTTCTTCTCTTTAAAATTACTTCTATTTCCAGATTCTTATTTTTAATTATTATTATTTCAAATTTAATTATTCATTCTTTTTCTAATAATATATTTACCATAAATTAAGCTTACTGATTTAAGCCACAAATTAATCCAAGAAGATTGGAGTGGGTAGATCATACAAGGACATCTATGTTATACCTCATATGAACCATTTTATGTCTTTGAATAATACCTATCACATGATCAATCATAATACTTATTTTGAATTTGTTACTTGTAATAACAATAATAATAGCAATGTATTAGCTAATTTGTGGCATTGTAGGTTTGGTCATATGTTTGACAGTGTACTCAAATTACTCGATAATAAAATCATTTTTCCCTTCCTGCTTCTTGTTCTTCTGAAAACTGTAATATTTGTCCTTTAGCAAAGTTTAAGAGATTACCTTTCACTTGTAATAATCATTTTGTTGACTATCATTTTGATTTGTCACACTATGATATATATGGATCCTATGACACACAAACCTACAATGGTATAAGGTACTTCCTCACTTTAGTAGATGATTGTACCATATTTACCTAAATACATATGATGAAGCACAAATTTGAGATTCTTGAGGAGATAGTTTTTCTTTTCAAAATGGTACACACTCAATTTGTTGTCACCATCAAACAAATCAAAACAAACAATGCAAAAGAGTTGGCTTGCAAAGATTTCCTTAAAGGCAAGGGCACACTTCAGAAATATTTTTGTGTGGAAAGGCCACAATAGAATGCAATTATCGAGAGAAAACATCAACATCTCTTGGCAGTTGCTAGAGCCTTTTACTTTCAATCAAAAGTCCCTATCTTTTTAGGGAGATTGTGTCTTTTTAATCAACAAACTTCCTTCACCAAACATAAGAAATTAATCACCATTCAACCTCTTATACAAGTATGAACCAGATTATAGTATCTTCAAAAACTTTTGATATCTTTTCTATGTTGCCACTCTACAATCTTAGAGGACCAAATTCATTGAAAGGAGCATTTCTGCCATCTTCATTGGTTATCCTCAAGGCACCAAAGGATATAAGTTGTATGATATTCAAAACAAGAAGATAATAATCTTCAAAGATGTTCAATTCAGAAAAACACATCATCCCTTACCATTCCTTACCCTCACCTACCTATTTTGATCCTACTAGTACTGTTGTCATCCCCTTGCCTATACTTGACACCAATGTTATGCCTTAAACACAAAATATGAATTCAAATGATATTTCTACAAATGAGCCTAATCCTAAAAACAACCAATATCTTTCTTAACCTACTTACACCACTAAATCTAGTAAAATATTTAAACCATCTTCTTACCTTACTAAAAACCATATCATATCCAACACTAAAATCATTATACCTTATCCTATAAAATCATATGTTTCTTATAACAAGCTTTTCAACACATATAAAAAACACACAACACCCAAGTTTCAAACACTTATGAACTTGAATTCTATTATTAGCCAGTCAAATTCCTTGAATGGAGACAAATCATGGACCAAAATCTACAAGCTTTACAAAAATAATGACTGAATTTTAGAGAGGTGAATTTTTTTTAACATATATATATATATATATATATATATATATATATATATATATATATACACACATACACAAAAAAAAAAAAAAAAAATTGAAG